GGGCAAGGTGAAGCTAACTAGTGAACTTTTAGTTATAAGCACGCAATTGGTTGATGAATATTAACTCACACACCTTGAATAGACAATGGGCTAATTATAATGCACATGTGATGTATGTAGATGTATGTAGTGGGATGAGATGGGAGATATGAAGTAGGCGGGTGGAAAGATTGTAAACTCCTAGTACCTTACCCAATGAGGGAAAGGGGGAGGACTGTGGCGGATGGCTTGAGGGTTAAAAGGAGCTGTTTTGTGTGTGTGTACTTTGGAGAGATTCTGATAGAGCAGGCTCTCCCCGTCTATTGCAATAAACTAAGAAATTACCTCCCTCTGATGGTAGTCTTGGTTATTTAACTTGAGGAGAAGTATTTTCACAATTTTTTTGCATCACGCTTCTCACATATATGATATATTGTCCTGATTTCTTCTGTACTTGTTGGCAAATTTGAGATTCACCAGCAGCCACGTTAGAGAATTGGGGAAGTGGGAAGGAGGCTCTGTATATATAGCTGGCTTCTGTGCAGTTGACCATTTTACTGTGCAGTGTTCACAACAAAAAATAGTGATCAGGAATACAACAGTGTGAATGATCTTGGTCTTGGCCTCCTCTAAAACATCTTTACACTTGGTGATCTTTTCTAGTTCCTTCAGTGCAGTTCTTCCAAGTTTCAGTGTTCCTCTAATTTCTTTGTTGCAGTCTCCTGAGGACTGAGGCAAGGAATGCAAAATATTTTACGATTTCAATTTCTTCATTGTTGACCTTGAAGTTGTATAATTCTTCTGTAGTTATGTTGTTTTCTTAATATTCAGCTGCAGTCCTGCTTTTGCACTTTCTTCTTTCACTGTAATAGGAATCTTTTCAGTTCATCTCTGCTTTCTACCAGTAATATATTATCTACATATCCTAAGTAAGTGTATGCAGAACTGCAAATGTGGTATGGAGTTACCCAATGTAGGAATGTTCATCACAATCCAAGACACCTGATTTCAGCATGCATGCTACCCTTGTAAAATAAAACACTGTTTCTACTAAGTATTTAGTTAGTACTAAGTATTGGGTTGGTAGTTTAAACCTTAAAGGTTAAATCTTAGCTCTTTAAAGCATGGCCATTTGAATCCTCTAATTACATTCCAGTATTTACTTCCTTTAAAAGCATATACTTGAAGAGTATCAGTAACTGAAAATGTCCAGTATGTTTTTGACAAAGTATCACAATAGTGCTTTGTTCATAAAACACACACACAAGCTTCCCAGCTCAATTATTCATAATAAACTGGGCTAATATTCCCAACAGTCCTACATTTTCCCAGATCTGGAACAGGGTATGTGACTACAGAAAGGTGGGGGGAAGGTTTTAAGTTATTGCTTGTAGACATTTGGATAAGTTTATATGTATTTTAATATGGCAGCAGAGATGTAAAATTTATGTGTAGAATTTAACCTCATGTTTGCCTTGAATTAATGTTAATGCTGTCATTCATTTCCCCTTGACTTCCATCCTTTATTTTCTGTGATTTGGAAAGATGTGTCTTCTAACCGCTGCAATAAGTTTGCTGGACTCTGTATGAAGAAAGCAGGTTTAAGGCCAAAGAGCTTAAAGAAGTAAATCCTATTTTACTTCTTCAGATTAAAAAAAGTAGTTCCAGAGGGAGCACATAATTCTGTTTAACTGTATTAATTTTTAATGGGGGAATTTCTCCTGTGACTACAATGAAATAAAAACTGAGTTTGTCAGTAATGTATTTTATCTGATTCACTACCACCCCCTTTTCAAAATATGGATCTCCACCAGTAATGGCACTTTTAAAAAGTTCTTTGAGCAATTGTACTTTTTGAGTTCAACTTACAGATGAGTTCAGTTTTGATGATGCTGTCAAGAATCATAAGCCCAAGAATAGTTACAAGTGACTAACCCCATGGCTCCACATGAAGTACTTATTAGTAAGTCACTACATAATTGAGTTGTAGGAGATGGACCATGCTGTCTGTAAGATACTTTGTACCTCTTAAAATGCTGTATCCTAGATTTGAATATGGGTTTTATAATTAGTTTCCTTTTAACTTGAGGTGAGTGTACCTGCAGATTTGGAAACCCTGGTTTTCCTACTCAAAGAGCTGTTCTTGCTGCTGTCCCATTCATTACAACAGGGCTGGTATTGGCTGAGTGGCTGGAGGATTATACTGTCTGGGAGGTTTGCCAGATTAATTTGGCCTGCTGCCTGTTGTTCAATCTGGAGCCACTGAAGCCCTCGGTTTCTCTGGGACTCTGCTGCCAGATATTCCATATGGGATGCCCAGAAATACAGCCTAACATTAGGGAGATTTAGTTCTCCCATGTCTCAATGGGCCTATACATTTTTAATGACAATTTGTGTTTTTTGCCGACCAAATGAACCTTGGAAAGGTCTTGTGGAGCTTATTAAAGTGTGAGGTTTTAAATTCTCCGAAACAGTTGTAGTTGATATAAGAGACGGGGAGGTGGTATTTATTTTAGGAAGCTGTATTCTCTCCATAATTGGTGCAGAGAGATTCATCCACATATCCAGATGAACCTTAACATTTGGTGGCATCAAGTTTCCTCTTGGATGTTGAATGGCCTCATTAGCATCTTAAAAGTAGGATAAGGACATATATAATAGATTACAGAGAAACACCATTTTTGCTAGATATAACTGTCTTATGTACACTAAGGCAAAATATGTTCCACTGATTTTAGTATAAATAATTTACACATAGTGGGCACAACAAGCAGAGAATCACCTATACAACAGAAGAAGCTTTTGGTTTGCCAACAGAACTTTGTGATAGAATAGCCAGTACAATGGTTGGATCCTAAATCTATTCCAGTGACAAAGTAGCAGCAAGTCATTTAGTTTTGTCCCCCACCCACTAGTATAATCAGATAGTGCTTTGCTGCCATGTTTGTGACTGCCATTTTGAATATAGCAGCCTCCACCCATGGTTTATTTAGGGCTTCAGTCTGGTGTATGCAGGTGCTGTGGCTCACTATGGGCATGCCATTGTAACCTCATCATTGACTTTGATATAGAATATTTTATACACTGTCTATGATTAGTCAAACAGCCTGTTTGGGCAGAGCCTTTCCCTCTTTCTTACCACTATTTACTTTTTAAAAAAACACCTTGTCTGACAAAAACAGCTTGAAAGCTTGTGCATTTTTAGCTATCTTGGAAGAAAGTCCAATGGTTTGTGGTTTGTTTCCATTTAAGTGGGCATAAGATAGATTTAATTTTACTTGGACATTTGTACAAGATAGAAAAAAAATATGTATGAATAAACATACTTGGGATCCAACCTTTTACAATGTATCTTTTGTTTGAAGATCAACAACAAAAACCTGACTGACAGGCAATCAAAATTGTATATTCTAATAAGCAGTATGTATGTTAAATTTGATCCATGTGTAATCCAAGGCATCCAATTATACAATACATTTAAAAATGGAACACTTTTACAATTCACCCTCAATATGGAAGGCTCGTGGTGCAGCACCAACAGCTACTCCATTACAGTACTACTATAAATTCTACTAGAAACTTGACATTAGGCACACACAGGGAACAAGGGAAAGAGCCTTCTGTATAGTGTGGGGCTTTTCTGCAGAATGCCCTTTCCAGGAGTTCCACCTGGTGTCTTCATTTGTATACATTGCCAGAACAATCCTCTGGCTGCTAGACTTCATTTTAGGATAATTCAGATCCTCACCTCAAAGGCCAGAGACAGAGCAGAGGCCTCAGGAATGGGAACTGGATCACTCTCTCCTTCACAGAAAGAACTGTCTGGCTTCTTTTTTGAGGTCCAGAACAAAAACTTAGAGAGGTTAAAAGCTGGTATTTCATTGGGTGGGGATGGGAAGTCATTGGAAAGGCAAGAACATGAGTCCTTTTAAGCATCATTCCCTTCCACTCTGAAACAGTTTTGTTCAGAAAAAACCTTTGAGTGCGGAAGGATGGGTAGGCAAAGATAACTTCTGTTAGTCCTCTTGCCCTGCACAGGATGTCTATAAACCTCCAGGTCTGGGGGCTTACATGTACCCAGGGTGCAACCCATAGGTTTTCACCCTTAGACATCAGGTCAGGACCTTCCTCTTTAAGTAGACATTTAGTCTTCAATCTGTAGATTAATTTCACTGCAGGCTTCTCGATTTTTTCATTTTAAAAATATTTAGTAATGTATTGTTACTGTATTTGGGTTTTGTGATTGTAAATTACCCTGAGGGCTGTTGACAGTTGGCCAGTATAAACATCTAATAAAAAAGCCATCCCATGTTGATTCTACACGACTATAGAAAAGCAACTGTAGTTCTATAAACGGGGGCCAGGAGATGTACCCAAAATAGTCGAGGTGCTTCCACGATACGATCGTTGCCAATTACAGCAACACGATGAAGGCTGAAATATGGCTTACCTGTAGCCCAGGATAAGTGCCCTCCACTCCTGGCATTCTCACCAAACCATAAGTAAAGATGCATGCTTAAACAATCATAGGATATTGCCCTGATTTATTTTTATAGTAGTGACGAACGTACCAGCAGCATTTTGGGCAGTTCCTGTTGCAGCGAAGACCACAGCTGTAAGCTTTGAAATATACGGTTCATTCACTAGCGAGAAGTACAACTGCTGCCGGCTCCTATTGTTTTTCGCACTGCCTCTAAAAACGAATCGCCCGACCCTAACACGTCTCATCAGCGTCCAGTCCTACTTTTTATCAAACTCCGTCTTCCCCGCAAAAGAGAACAGAAACGTGTAGTCTTACAAAAGTCTTGCTTCCACATGAACCCTCTTAAGTGCTGCAGAATTGTGGGCAAAAATATCTTTACATCAGAACCCTAACAAGGGCTTCCTGTTTTCAAGCACGCACGCGCGTGATTTCAGCCGCCATTCTCGAGAGCAAAGGTGCAATTGGAGTTTTTTCAAAAAACAAAAAAGGGGTGGGGAAGCGAGAAAGGCTGAGCATGCGCCATGAGGTGGTCTAGAGACAAGGGCAGGCTCGGCAGCGGCTTGTGTTGTTAGCGCCTCCCTTTTCGTCTCCTTCCTTCCTTCCTTCCTTCCTTGCTTGGCCACGGCGCGTAGATCAACATCAGCTATGGCGGCGGAAGGAGGAGCAGCGGCGGTCCCAGCTGTGGTGGAAGCCGCATCTACGGGCCAGTTCCAGGATCTGCTTCAGCAGCCGGGCAGGTACGTAAAGAGCCGCTGCCGCCACCACCTTCTCCTTCGCCCTTGTTCCCGCGCCTTGCTCGAGGTTCGCTTTGACTCTTTGGGCATGGTGGGCAGAGAGGCCAAGGAAGAGGAGCCACAACCGAAAGCGGACGGTTGCATCGTCCGTTGCTAGGCCCGTTCTCCGGGTTGTACAGACACGATCTCAAGCTGTGGGCTCCCAGGCATGTTTTTGCTGAAGTAGGCTTCGTTGCGTTGAATGGGGGTTGCTCCCAAGTTCATCGCCTGCTTGGGAATGGAACCTCAGTTACCCCATAAACTTTATGATATTAGGTGGGAATTAGTAAGATGTTTTAGGATGAAGTCTTATCCATGACATGACACAAAAATCATAGATAGGATTTGTGGCCTTGCTTCTAAACGTGTATAGGATTGTAACCTTATTCTGCCTCTTGTGCCGTTGTCACAATGGACCTTATTTCCAGGCTGACCCAAAATAATTTGCTGCTGAGCCAAAGGACAACATGAAGACCCCTGCCCCTAGGTCATTGTACTTTAACCTCAAGTTTGCTCATGTTATTTGAGAATCTGAGGCAGAAGATCCCACAAGAGCCCCACCTCACCCTATCAATAAAAATGCAGTAAATATTTAAGGGATACAGTACTAAGCATACTTAGACAGATTGGAAAGCCCTACAATTCACAGCACTCAGCACTTAATGTGACTGGAATGCAGTAAGTCATAGGACTCATTTCATTTGAAACCTGTTTAGGATTGTGCCCTTAGTAACTTGACATTTTGTAGCCCTTTCATGGCACCCCAAATTTTCTGCTTCACTCTGCCTAATAGTGGAACCAGCCTTGATTCCAGGGTTAAGTTTTTTCCCTGCTGTTATCTTCCAAATATATGAGTTTTCAAGGGCCAGTCCATTAAAGAAAGCAAGAAATAAAAGTTTACATGTGTGTGTAATGGTTCCTCCACAGAATTAGGATGATTTGATGGGAAGAGGTTGGGACTACTTGTAGCCTAGCAACATCAAAGGGAAACTTAGCTCCCATCAGCTGGAAATTTTCAAGTTTCCCACTCCTGGATTAAGGCCATGATATCCAATCAGGCTTAAGACTCTCCTTTTAGATAATCAACTCCCTATCTGAAGTACACTGAAAAATGCATATGAGAATATATATGTAATATATACTTATATATTTCTAAGGAATAGAGTCCAACTAGGGAATAGATATGTAAGGGGCCTTATCCATCATTCTTCTCTCCCTGTGGTGCCTGTGTGATTTTTCTCAGAATGCCTAATGAACCATCTTTCCTAAATAGCTGTTGAAGTAGATTTCCTAGAGGGAAGATCTCTTACAGCTGTCTAAATATATAAAGGATTAAAAAACAGTCCATGATGTCCTGATTTTTAGAAGACTGTTTCCCATACAATTTGGTGAGGTGTTGATCTTCTGGAAAAAGGAATGTCAGTTCACAGCTATGTGTGATGTGTACCCATGATGTCTAAAAACTACTTTTAATATCTGTCTGAAGAGGCCACAGTCACCACATTTAAATACTGCATGTAAGTCCTTCTATGGTGGGTGAAAAAGTAGATCACTGGTTTGCTGGTTTGAAACAAAGATTTCAGATTCCCAGTTCTCGAACAGCAGTATTTCTTTTTCTACTTAAATTAGGCAGTGGGAAAAGAAGAAAGTTTGGGGTAACCAGGAGCACATGTCCATGTGAAAGGACTCTGCTCAGTTCAGTTCTGATACTGAAAACAAATTGTAGGCTCAGAAAGTGCTCAGAATCACCCTGTTCTATAATACTAAGTTTGTGATGTGCTCTTATGTTAAGATGACAGATTGTAACTGATTTGTTCGGGTTCATGTGCCTCCAACTATTTTGAATATGCAAACTTATTATGTAATAATATTATGTAATATGTAAGCCCAGATACCAGACATGAAGCAACCCACAGTTAAGAATTAAAGGTAACTTCACTGTGGTTTGTTTAATCCGTGATTAAGCCTTAGCATCTAGATCTGCATGTTACAAAATAATGTCTGATCAAGACAGCAGCACATACAGATTTGGCTCTGTAACTTGTAAATGTTGTCTTTTCCATCTAGCTGTTGTTGTTGGTAGATCTTGGTGTACTAGTAGATCCTCAAGGTAGATTTGAACAAACCTGTAGTCTACCCACTCCTGTTTTAAATGTGTAGCTATAACAAGAGATGGGTTGATGGACCCTCACATGCTTCATCAAAAAGGACCCCTTTTGGTATTTCCTTTTGGTCTGAAGTGTGGTTATTGTGGAGTAATGGTTAGAGAGGCAGCAGCTCTCTACTTCTGAGAATTTTTCTTTCTGGTTTTGAAACCTTTCCAGTACAAGTGTGGGTCTTTGGAAGAAGGACTTTTCTTATAATGCTTGAAAGCTAGAGCCAAGTAAATGTGGGAAGAACCCTCTCAGAGAGAGGATGTTTCACTTACCAGTGTAATTCCTGTGGGTAGGATCTGTAAATTCCTGCTTTTAACCAATTAATTATAAATATACCCACCTGAACCCTTTGGGAGTGTATTTCTGCAGATTCTCTAGATGGGATACAGAGGGAGTAGCAGTGAGTAGATCACTCCCTGGCCTTCAGTAGAATCAGAATGCAGATCACAAGCAATATAAGGATAAAGAAAACATTGATTTGTTGAACCAGTGTGTGCCAGCCAATCTATAGGAAGAGGTTTAGACTTTAGACTATAATTCTCACCAGCCCAATGAGCATAGTTGATGGACAGGGATAATGGGAGTTGTAGTCAAAACTTCTGGAGGGTATCATTGTGGGATAAGGCTGATCTAGCCCTTCACTGTCTACTACTTTGACAGTGGATCTCCATTTCCTATCCATTTTCCTCAGTATAGATAGACCATATTTGTCTCTGCACCCTGAGAACATTTATTGTGGTGCCAGTTGCTTTTATTTTGCATTGCTTTGTTGATCTTCAACCTGTTCTGCATAAATGCCTGACCTCTGTGTTCATCCCTGTTTGTCACAGGTCTTTAGTGGTGGTTCATTTTTGGGCCCCATGGGCTCCTCAGTGTGTCCAGATGAATAATGTCATGGCTGAACTAGCAAAGGAGCACCCACAGGTTACATTTGTGAAAGTAAGTTCAACTGATCATATATAATATACTTTTGGTCTAGCATGGATGCTGGCTATGTGCATTAAGGAAAAAGGTGAAAATGTGACATACTGGTCCAGCTTCTTGATAGGGCTTAAAAACTTGTGTAACTGGGAGCATTTCAGCTTTACAGTTACTGCTTTGTCCTCTCTTGATTGGTGCTGTACTGACTTTCTTTAGTAGAAGTATATATGGCTTTCACCCATTAAAATTTCATCCATTAAAAACTGATGGAAACTGTTGAGGTCTGTGTAATGCTCAGCAGCTGAGAAAATTTCATAAATTTCTTCTGTAACAGTGAGAGCTGAGCTCATCATGGGTGAATGTGAGATAATTCTTTCCAGCCCTTGCATTCTTGTCATGCTATACTTTTAATATATGCATTTTTAAAAAAATGGATTTGGAATGGAGAGGGTGAGATATTTACATGTGTACTTGCTTATGCACACAGTTATTTAAAATCCAAGCTTGTGCTCTGTGAAGAATTGACTGTTAGTGAAATGGTTACTACTTTTGATCAGTGGAACTTTAGTGATGGTTCGGTGGAAGCCTTGGTATAGTGGTAGTAAGGGAGTACTTTTCATAATAAGAGAATTTGAGATAAAGAATCCTCAGAAAGGGTCTGAGGATGCAAACAAACATGGGAGTCCTAGGATTCCATAAGTTGACTTGAAATAACCATCAATATTTGCTTTTCCATCGTTATTTGCTTTTCAGCGCCAGGCGAAGACCTTTTTATTCAAGCGGCATTTTAACTGTTAATATTATTGAATTTTATCTGGCCAGGGCGGCTTATTTTATACTGTATTGTTGTATTTTTAATTTAATATTTATATTTTTAATTTATATTATAATTATTTTAACTTAGTGATGTAAGCTGCCCCAAGGCTTTGGTGAATGGGGCGGCATAAAAAACGTTTTAATAAATAATAAATAAATAAATAAATATCTTTGACTACCAAAGCATTCATTAGAATTTGAATATTTTATTTATTGATTTATTTACAATATTTTTACCCAGTCCTATACAAACGTCCCAAGACGGCTTACAACATAAATAAATCATAACAATAAATAAATATGACAAAAATACAATAACATAACAAGCATAACGGAATGTGACTGAGAATGACCGTATTAAAACCTAGTTAAAACATTTAAATATTAAAATACTGGGCAAATAAAAAGGTTTTTACCTGGCATCAAAAGGGATATAACATTGGTGCCAGGCAAACATCTCTGGGGAGCACATTCCACAGTTGGGGCACCACCGTGGAGAAGGGTATTCTCCCTCCTAACCTCCTTCAGGGAGGGTTCCCGGAGCAGGGCCTCTGCCTCAGGTCTTAAGGGGCAGGAAGGCATATAGGGAAGAAGACGTTCTTTCAGGTATCCTGGTCCCAAGCCGTTTAGGGCTTTATAGGTCAACACCAGAACCATAAATTGGGCCCGGACTTCAGTGCAGCTGATAGAGGACTGCATTATGTGAGAATAATGACCAGCCCCCATCAGAATCTGGCAGCTCCGTTTTGAACCATTTCAAGTATCTGGACCGTCTTCAAGGGCAGCCCCATGTAGAGTATGTTATAATAATCCAACTGGGAATCCAACTGACACCAGAGCATGTGTCACCATTGCCAAGCAGTGCTCATCCAGGTAAGGATGCAGCTGATGGATCAGCCGAAGCTGAAGGAAAGGACTCCTCGCCACCGCTGCCACCTGAACCTTCAGGAACAACTCTGGGTTGAGGAGCATTCTCAGGCTACAGAACCTGTCCTTTAGAGGGAGTGCAACCCCATCCAGGATAGGGCCAAAATCACTTACCTGGAAATCCAAACTGCCCACCAAAAGGACTTCCATCTTAATCTGGATTGAGTCTCAGTTTATTGGCCCTCATTCAGTCCATCACCTTGGCCAGGCACCGGTTAAAGTTAATATTGTGCCTTTTTAGTTACTTGAGCTAGGTTTTCCCATGTAATAGTCAATGGTTTGTCCACAACTAATGCATTTGGCAATTAGTTTAAATCCTGATCTTCTTATCCCAGGGATTTGAGATTAAGTTAGCAATACTGCTCTTTTTTTAAAAAAAGTTCCTACTACTTACTTGATTTGATGCAGTGATGCTTTTGGTTAGGCAAACAGATTCTTTCCTTATTGTTTTGTATGTACTGTAATGGACTAGGATAGATAACCACTACTTTGAGTTCTCATAATTATGCCTCATAACTGCTTTGATACAGCATATAGGCAGTAGGGATGTGTACGTGTCCCGGTAAGAGAGCTCCAATGAGCAAGAAAGAACAAATGGACTACAACTAAATGGTGCTCATTTTAAAAGTAGTTCAATGATGAAATGAATTTGTGATGATAAAGGTACAAAATTATATGATAATTCTATTTTTGGCATCTGTGGTAGACTTCCTTAAAATGAGCCATTTCTGACCAGCCATGCTTTTATTGATAAAATCTGATTTTCAGTGTTTTCATTCTTTTGTATTTGGCCTTTTTCCCATTATTATTTGCTGTCCAGAAATTATTTTTCAGAAGTAGAACATCCCTCATGGTGGGTAGAATGAACAATGGAGAGATTCTCGGTTCAAGTAGTTCCAGGTCTTTTTCCTTTTCACATACCACCTTGCTGCTCTTTCCCTTGCTTCTGATGGCTCTGATCAAGCAACTACGATCAACAGGAATCCCTGGAAGATGGCCATGCCGCTTGCCTTGTCAGGTGGCAAAGACCAGAACCAGGCAGCTTGGGACTGCTTGCACAGCATGCTGTGGGGGTGGCGGTGGCGGCAGTGGTATTCTCAGCTGCATATAGGAGCAGCAACTCACACAACCCACTTTTTTCACTTGCTTAGGGCTGCTGCTGGCACCAAGGGAACTGAGCAGATCATAGCAGGAAAAGAGAAAGAGCTGGTGCAGACCAGTTCTCCTGTTGATGGCAGCAGCCCTGAGTGAGTGGGAAGAGCAGGAACTGAGCTGATTGAAGCAGGAAGAGGGAAAGAGCTGGCACAGATCAGTTCTCCTAGTGACGGCAGCAGCACTGAGCAAGTGGAAAAAGCAGACTGAGCTTGGGTTGCTGCTTTTATATGCAGCTCCTCCTCAGGGCTTTTTCGCATACCGTCAGGGAATCTCCTGTGGACCAGCACTTGAAAACCACTGCTCTAGATTACACCCAAAAGATTTTGCTGTGATGCATTTCTGTGGATTTAAGTATCTGTAACTGAGCACCACATTTTAGCAGGACAGCTTTGATCATGTTAAAAGGTTTGTAGTAGAACTAATGTTAGGATAATACTAGTATTATTTGTGCTGGAGTAATATGGCATTAGGTTCGCTGTAGAGGTAAAGCTGCATAATCTATAACCGTATTGTTCAAAATCAAATTAATTACAAAATTCAGCTGTTTGCATACTATTAGCAGCAATTCATAGAAAATTGATGGGATTTTACATGAATTATTATGAGGATGGAAGAAACATGAAAATATAGCATCAGTTAAGCTATGCTGAATAATAACTTGAAAAAAGAAATGAAAAGTTTATTGGCTTCATTTGTCCTATATAGCTGATCAGTGGTTTTGCCACTTTGGAAGGACCAGCATTCCCTGTGCTAGTTAAGTTTTTCCTGTAATGGGATACATTAGTGTCATTATCATTTATGATAACAATGTTAAAATGCATTGTATTAATAGTATGCATTTTAAAATAAATGAACACTACCATTTATTTTAAAATGCATACAATTCTTTAAATCCCACCACAATCTTCAGCTCTCAGAGTCCTGCAGTAATGTGAAATATATACATAAATAAAAGCCTGTTGGTATAGGGGAGCTTTTGAATAGTATCTCACATTTATGCTCAGGTGATTTATATGCCAGCAGAGCACTGATAAATTTGGAGTGCCCTCTGGGTTAATTTTGGTTGGAGATAAACTTTGGGGATGAAGTTATTGAGTTCAAAAATATGAAAGCTGGTAGTCTGAGCAGAGACCAGGCCAGATGACAGTGGATCTAACATACATTACCAAATATTATCAACACCATGATTTAAGCTGCAATCCTGAGCGTACTTGCTAGAGAGTGCATAAAATGTAGGATCACCTCCAGACATAGGACAAAACAAAGCTGCCTTCAGGAAGATTAGAAAAGCTCAGAACCATAAAGCTTCTAAATTTTGCCCTGTTATACCATATATAGCATAGCTTTAATGTTTCCTACTGCAGAGCCAGTAGAGCAGCGGAAAATTGTTCCTGCAGGTTCTGATCCTGTGAATTCTTTGGCCAGGTGTGCAGATAGGACTTTCCTTTCCTCTTGGCTTCTAGTCCTTCCTTTTCTCTCACTGGAGAACCCCCTTTTCCTCCTTTTTTGAGGTCACTGGGAAAGCTGCCATGGAACTTTCTGCTGTGTTTGGGGGCGGAGTGGGGTGAAGAGCCTCTGGGGTCATAGCTCTGTTAAGGCCTCAGAGGTAAAAGCTTTCAGTGTCCATTGTCCCCTTGGACAGTGTCAAAGGAGCATAGGATTGCACTTCCCAATCTCTTAAGCAAAATATCTACATTTACTTCCCATCTTTCAACTATTCAGTCTTGCCATTGGTCATTCCTGAGTATATCAGAGTCTACTGACTCGGTAAATGGAAATCTGTGCACTGTTTGAGTTTCCTACAGTTTCATGTTTGATTATCTATGTTTGAGGACAGTAGCATACTAATATCTAGCAGTCTTGCAGGAGTTAACCACTAAAATTTAGCAGACATCAATAGTTTATTGGTGAAATACTCTTTTTTTGCTTCATAATTTGCAGAAGGCTCCAAATGTCATTCATGATGTACTGCCTCCTGAAATTAGTCAATAGAGCAAACAGCAAGAATTGCTGTGGGCAGAAAATAAGCACTGTAATCATGACATAACTGGGGTCAGTGATTTATGGATTTCAATATAGTAGTAGCTGCATATGATTGAAAATTTACTAGGTCACCAGTGCACCAAGAATTTTATTCACAGCCTCCAGGCATCTTTTGAAATGTGCAACAAAATAAAAACCTCTGAACCTGTTTTGACACTGCAGGCTCAGTGGATGACAAGCCTGCCCTGTGAGTTTCATTTAAATGCAAATGTGTCACAAACTTTTGCACTGAAATCCTTTTTAAACATTTAACGTGACTAAAAGAACAGTGTAGACAAGATCAGCCAGCACAGTCTCAACTATAAATAAGAGAATGAAAATAAAACCGTATTTTATTACTTCTTTTCCTTTTTTTTAAGCTGGAAGCTGAAGTAGTTCCAGAAGTTTCTGAAAAATATGAGATTACTTCTGTTCCAACGTTCCTATTTTTTAAGGTAGGCTTATTTTAACTTGCATGCATGTATGGATATGCCCAATACAAGCAACAATAATGGTGTGGGATAACATTTGATTTAAAGCTGCTAGGAATTTTGTATATCTTAACTGAGTGGGTAAAGCCCAGTTCACATATCTGATGATCCTCTATACTGAAGCTCACAAAAATGTTTGTAGAGGAGTGCATGCTACTAAATCTGTTTTTAGTGGTGCACAGTTTAGTAATGACATGAAAATGACCATCAATTGCCCATTGTGGTGACCTGTTCAGAATATTTTTGCAAGTGTTTATTATTATAATAAGGTTTAACAGAATTTAGTTCACTTTGTGCCTATTTGGGGATAAACAGTTATACATTACCTCAAAAGAATGTCCTACTAGTTTTCAGAATGCAGTTCTTGTGGCACTCATAACATTTACTAGCATTGCTTTTCTTTATTGGCAGAATTTCCAAAAAATTGATCAACTAGATGGCGCTCATGCACCAGAATTGACCAAAAAAGTTCAGCGCCTTGTATCTAGTGTGACCATTCCAACTGGTTGCACTGATGGTGTTAAAGAGGATCTCGGTATGCGACTCAAGAAACTGACAAATGCTGCACCTTGTATGTTGTTTATGAAGGGAACACCTCAGGATCCTCGTTGTGGTAAGAACCATTTCAAATTTATGTTTTAGTACAGCAGAGTGGAAAGCTGAAGAAAGGAGAGGGCATATGTCCGTAGGTCGTCCACACAGCCTGTTTCTATGAGTTCCTGTAGGATGAACACCAGCGTTAGAAGGAGAATAGAATAGGACATATTTGGTCTCTCCTAAAACCATAGAAAGGGAGATATTTTAAGAGAGGAGCTTTTTGGGTGGGAAAGATGAACCAGGTGGTGGAACAATTGCCCTTATAAATCCAACATAAATAATTGAAGATGCTTTGGGGTATTCAGCTGAGCTATATGTTTTGATTGGTGAGGTTAATAAAACTAGATAAGGGTCTTGCTCTTCTCTTGGAACTTTCTGCCCCATCCTCATTTTCAGCTACTCTGTATCACTCAAGGGGGACAGGATGCCCCATACTTTGAGAACCACTGCGCTGGAGTAATCACATTGAGCTGAATGCGATTGCTTCAGAAAATATAACATAATGGATAACACCTAGCCATTTGTTATAAAACTCCTATATAACATGAACCAGAAACCTGTAGTTAGCATTCATGGTGAAGAAACATTAGCTTTCCATCAGTGAATGTAACAGGTTAGTGATTTTGTTGAAGGATATGCTGATGCTTTAGTAGACTAACCAAAGGAAAAAAGGTAGTGTCCTTGAACATTAGAGTTACACGCTCGCTCTCTCTGGAGAGCCATACAAGCACACACCCTTGCTTACTTATTTTCAACTTTCTGAAAATGGGTCAAATTAATTTCCTGTTCCATGATCTGATGTAGGCCAAAAGAGCTAAATGTTAATACTCTCTACTATGTAACTGTATATGTAAGAACCACGGTACAGCACTACATTGTAGTACTGGTTGCTTTCTCTACAACAGTGGCAGGTCAAAGTTAGTTCAGAATCTACTGAGAAATCTGCAGTAGATTAGCATTAACATTAGCACCAAATGAAAGGCTCCCTACCCTAAATTAAGCCACTGTGAGGAAAAAAAACACCTTCTGGTGACCCAAGGATTGATGTTTGGTCTTGGGCCAGGCATGCACTTAAAGACATTCTGGTCTTAATTCTTAGAGAATGTCTGCCCTTCCAAGCCACTGTTTGTACTTAGCCAAAGGTGATGGATCTTGTGATTTTAGTTTTTAAAAAATCTGCAAATCCAAAGTCTGCAGTACCAGTGACAGAACCTGAATTATGTATGTGGTATTGCTAAAGTCTTGTGTTGTGCAGTGTGCTTGTATGGCTCTCCAGAGAGAGCAAGAGTGTATCTCTAATGAGGTAGGTACACTTTTCTAGTTGGGTGGCTTTTTGAGGACTATTACTAATTGCAGTAGCTGAGCAGCGAGTTATACATCTGGCATGATTTGCATATAGTAGAGGAGAATTAAAAGGAGCATATAATAGAAAGGCTGAAAAATAAATTTCTATTCTACCTGCACTAATCTCCTTAGATGAACAACATCAGATCTTGGTGTATGCTTTCCAAGAAGAACCACAGTGAGGTCTGCCTTTTTTAGTGACCTGTATTTGCCTAAAGGCATGCGTACTGGTGGGTGATCTGCATTTTGTGCCTCAGTCAGCATGCACGCTCATTTGAGCTCAAGCTCTCTTGCTCTCTCTCACCCCCCCCCCCCCGCACACACACACATGCACAAATAGCACATTAATGATGCCTTTGGTTCTTGTTTCTCACTTCCTTGAAGGGGATCCCTTAAAAAGCGGCTGTGATAATAGCCTGAGTGGGTGAACTGAAGGCCTAGAGGAAGGAAGCAACCCCTTTTGCTCTAGTTTCCTCAAGCTTTCTAGCTAGGCTTAGCTCACACACAGCATATCTGTGCTTCCAAAGCAGCTTTAGGCTCCAGAGAGATCAACTGGGAGGTTTTGCTTGGTGTTGTTTGTGAAGAAGAAATACCAGATAGTTTGTGTCCAGGCTAATTTTCATACTAATAAAAGCAGATTGTCAATTGTAACAGAGTGTAATTGGATCTTGGTATGGAATCAGAAATCCTTGTTATGTTCTGCATTTCACCACTTCCAATGGAAAGCCAATTCATAATAATGTTAAATGAGGTCTATCCCCTTGGCTCTGTGTTCACAGGCTTGTTGCTTGCTTACATTATTAGCATTATAATTGTACTTAGCTTTCAATCACTAGCAGCCCAGCATCTGCACCACTATTATACTGGTCTGTATGTTCTCATATGTGCACTTCAACTGTGCTTTCATTACCTTTTGTATTGCTCAGATTTATTTGTTCAGAAAGTCAGCCTAAATCTTTTGTTATGGGAATAAAGCAGTGTTGGCACTTTATCCTTAAGCATAACATTTCCAGTCTGCTACTTTAACCCTTAAAAATGAAACACCACCAATCAATCTTTTCTCCTCTACATGTACTTGCCTACAGCAAAAATAAAGTATGCTCCCCCTCAGCCCCTTACAGTAGAAATGAGTTAATATATTGGCAGCAGAATAACCATCAGCAATCAGCCTGTAGCTGTTTACTAATGAACTCCCAGATGAATGAGGGAAAAGAAATCCTGGATCCATGTTTCACTCAAGGCTGTACAAGAACTTAATGCTTCAGTTGTGGGAAGAAAAGCAACTTAGATGCCATATAAATAAATGCTGTTTGCTCATGGCTCAAAATGCAGATCATGGAGACCTCAAGCTACAATACAAATCAAAAGCTATGAATGAATTTGCCAGACAGAAATCATGTCAACAGTTCTTTTGTGTGTACATTCCTGAAACTTTCAAACCTGCCACTTTAAAACTTGTATATTAGACCCTTTTGAAAATTAGTTGGAATTAAAGCCACACATGTGTGTGCACATGCATTCAAACACAATCATATATGCAATGTACATACAGATACCTAAGGAAGATGTTTCTGTTTTGGTGGAGAGAATGTTACAATAGTAGAGAAAAAGAAATTACATAGGCTGCTGATTCAGTTAGGATGATACTTGTACTGTTTAGTAATTTAGGCACAGGTTCACTTTACAGCTTTTTTGAATTTTATATAAGTGGGCTAGCTAATTCCACAATAAAAGGTGCCACCTGTTTGGTCTGAGCAGTGCATCAAACAGTTGAAACACAAAAATGGCCCATTGTAATTAAGATTTTAATGGAGTGATCCATTTAGCCTGCACAAATTATTTAAAGGACTAATTCTGTGAATTCTTGTGGTTAGAATCAGCATTCTAGAATGTTTTCCTGCAATGAAAACTTATAGCAGCATCTGAAATTATTTGAATGCTATATTTAAATGTATGATCTTCCTTGATATTAAAATAACAACAATTTTTGGGACAAAAAATATCCTTGTACCTGCATGGACACTGCTGTGCTGTATGATCTCTCTAATTTGGTCTGTGCACATTGCTTTACTGATGGTTTTGTCTAGTCACAAAGTTGTGTTTAACTTATCACAATCCCATGGACAACATTCCTCCAGGCTCTCCTCTCCTCTCCTATCTCCCAGAGTCCACCCAAGCCCACACCAACTGCCCCAGTGACCCTGTCTAGCCCCTTCAAACGTCCCCTTCTCCTTTTACTTTCAATAATTCCCAGCATCAGGGTCTTCTCCAGTGATTCCTTCCTTCTCATGGACTCTCAGGAGCCTTCTCCAACACCCCAATTCAAAGGTATCAATCGGCACTCAGTTTTCCTTATGACCCAACTCTCACAGCCATACATTACAACTGGGAAAACCATAGCTTTGATTATATGAACTTTTGTTGGCAGGGTGATGTCTCTGCTTTTTAGTATGCTGTCTAGATTTGCCATAGCTTTCCTCCCAAGCAGCAAATGTCGTTTAATTTCTTGGCCACAGTCACTGTCTGTGGTGATCTTGGAGCCCAGGAAAATAAAATCTGTCACTACCTCCAATTCTTCCCCATCTATTTGCCAGGAAGTGATTGGACCAGATGCCATGATCTTAGTTTTCTTAATGTTGAGTTCCAAGCCAACTTTTGCATTCTCCTCTTTCCCCTGCATCAAGAGGCTCTTCTTCACTTTCTGTCAATAGAGTCGTATCATCTGCATAACTGAGGTTGTTGATACTTCTCCCGGCATTCTTAATTCCGACTTGTGATTCATCTAGCACAGGCTTTCTCATGATGTACTTTGTATATAAGTTAATAAACAGGGAAAATTATTGCCTTGCCATACTCCTTTCCCAATTTTGAACCAAGACCATTTGTTTCTCAAGAGACATATAAGACGGTCTGGTACTTCCATCCCTTTATGAACTTGCTACAATTTGTTGTGATCCACACAATCAAAGGCTTTAGTGTAGTCAATGAAGTAGAAGTAGATGTTATTCTGGAACTTCCTAGCTTTCTCCATGATCCAGCATATGTTGGTAATTTGATCTCAAGTTCCTCTGCCTCTTTGAAACCCTGCCTGTCCTTCTGCTTGTTCTCGGTCCACATACTGCTGGAGCCTAGCTTGTAGGGTTTTGAGTATAACTTTGCTAGTGTATGAAATGAGCACAATTGTACAGTAGTTTGAACATTCTTTGGCATTGCCCTTCTCTGAGATTGGAATGTAAACTTTTTCCAATCCTGTGGCCACTGTTGCGATTTCCAAATTTGCTGGCATATTGAGTGTAGCACTGTAACTGCACCATCTTTTAGGATTTTGAATTTCAGCTGGAATACTGTCACCTCCACTAGCTTTGTTGTTGCTGAGTTCCTTTTTGACTGTGCTCCGACGTGCTTCGCTGATCAGAAGTTCCACTCCCTGCTTACCTGGTTTGCCATCTTCCTTTTTTCCTTCTCTACAAAAACAAAAAACAACCCCCCACATTCCCCTTTCCTCTGCCGTTCAGAGAGAAGCCAGCTGCCTCTCTCCTCCCTCTTTCCCGTGGAGAATCTGTACTCCTTGCCCTGCTTCTCTCTCCACGTGCACTCCCATTTGAGCCACGTGACCAATTCGGCACCTTGCTGCTGCTCCTCTGGTGCAGCCCAGATGCCCACCACTGATGG